GTGAACAAAAGAAGAATGGGATTGCTCTTAAGGCATCTACAAGTCAAGAACGTGCTATGGAAGACTCGAGTGACGAAGACGAGTTTGGGATCGTACTCAAGAAATTCCATAAGTTCATGAGCCAAGAGTATGAACGGAAAGGAAAGAAGCAAGGAAACCCACCCAAATGCTATGGGTGTGGAGAAGTTGGGCATATAAAACCAAAATGTCCAAACGCCAAGATCAAGAATAAAATGTTCAAGAAGCACCGAGCCTACATCTCATGGGGAGGTGATTCCGGCGACGAATCATCGGAAGGCGAAGAAAACGAAAGTGCCAACCTTTGTCTCATGGCACACGAGGAACCACCGGAAGAGGTATGTACCACTTCTAAAGATTCCTATACTTTTGATGATGTACAAGAAGCCTTTAATGAACTTTTTGATGAATATGTCAATGCTTCTAAAATTAACAAGGATTTGAAGAAACAACTTACTTCCATGGAGAAGGAAGTTGATAAACTATCAAAAGATAATGAAAAACTAAAAGAAGAAAATAAGTTTTTCGGAAAAAGAAGCGCCGACAAACCGGAAAATTCAAAATGTAGTTCTTGTATATCACTTAAGGATCAAGTTGCAAAACTTGAAGGAACTTTGAAGAAGTTTGGTGTTTCTCATAAAAACCTTAATGATGTTCTTGATAATTTGCAACTTACTAAACATGGCTTAGGATTTGAAAATGAACCTAATAATAAGGAAAAAGTTGAGCAACCATCTAGGAAACCTAAATCTCAACTTAGGAATAATGAAAATCAAGAAAATAGACAACCTAGAACAATTAGGAACACTAGACTACCTAGAAAGAACACTAGGATGAAAAATGATCAAATTAGAAAACCTAGCAACTATTATCAACCTAGGAGAATGCATAATCCAAATGTTGTTTGTCATTATTGCAATAGGGTAGGTCATATAGCACCCGTGTGTTTTAGTAGGCATAGGCATTACACGTATAACAAAACACACACTCTGCATAGAACTAACCGAATGAAATCCTTTCAAAAAGGATATTCGAACTCTAACCAATCCCTGCAGGAATCAACGCAAAAACCATATTACTTCTTCTATTATGATGAAAAGAAGAAGATTCACATACCACTTCCGGAACCCACACAAATCAAACCAAGGTATAGACATTCGGTTAGAGTAGACTGGAACCCGCCAACTGCAAAAGGACGAGTTGGCCAAGGCTTGTGATAATCGACTATCACAACCCACAGAAGTTGGAGCAAAGAAACTGAAGGAGCCAACAATCGATTATCAGCATTAAGATAATCGATTATCAGGGGCTGCAGAACTTTCTCAAAAGTCAGGCACAAACAAGCAACAATCAATTATCAACTATACGATAATCGATTATGTAAGCCTACAGAAGTTTAAGGCAACTCAGGCGCAAACTCCAACAATCGATTTTCCAAGTCATGATAATCGATTATATGGAGCTGCAGAACGTTATTTGAAGTCAGGCGCAAAACAATCGATTGACTAAAACAAAACAATCGACTATTGAAGTCTGCAGATCTTTCGGCGGAGAATCTGAAGACTTAGATAATCGATTTACACGTTTGGTAAATCGATTATCAACGGCGATTTTTCAAAAATCTGACCGTTGCAGAGACGTTAGAAGTGCATTCAAGGCACCTTTTTGACTTCCCAAACGCATCTCAGGCCTCTTCCACTATATATTGGTGATATCCTTTCATTTTTACTCACTCAAATCACAATTCCTTCATATATTCATCAATATTTCATCCTTCTTGCAATTATTCTTCAGTGTTCTTGCAAAATCCCTGCAAATTTCTCTTTTTTTTGCTCTCCCTCTCTCTCTTTGTTGAAATGGCAGGAGGTCAAAGAAAAAGATCCTGCACCGGCAAGAACGTGGCTTCTTCCTCGGCTCCTCCACCATCAACGCACAAATACCTTGACGGGTCGTTTCTCTAGTTCAACGACCGCGAAGAGGCTACAAGGTTCTCGGAGAAGTTTGAGCATCGGGAAATTCTCCCTCCCCGATTCTCCACCGCCCGCTTCATTCATGACTCCATCCCTCGTGAGGCACGGGTTATCCTTGAACAAGGAAACTTCCTCGATCTCCTCTACATCAAGAAGGTCAATTATCAACCTTTTCTTGTTCGAGCTTTCTATTCGAACTTGAAAAAGGATGAGGACGGATCGTTGATTTCAAACGTCAACGGGGTGGACATTTATTTGAATGAAGAGAACATTCAAATCCTCACCGGGCTTCGTCGGGACGGACAGGATCTCGGGCTCTACACCGGAGAAGAGGGGGCGCGGTTCAATGAGACCGCTCTCTTGGAGGAAGTGGGCATCCGTCACTTCGTACCCACTCCCCAACAGCGGCGCCCTACGATTTCTTCCATGAGTCCCGTGTATCGTTTCATCTTCTATGT